AGATACAGCAGCAAAAAGACAAAAGACACCAACAGGAGGTTGGTTGCCATCTATACACGAAGAGGGAGAAACATCTGCTGCTGCTGCTGCTGCAGCAGCAGCAGCAGCAGCAGGTGCTGCTGCTGCAGCAGGTTCAGACCCATCAACAGAAGCAGCAGCAGCAGCAGCAGCAGCAGCAGGAGGAGAGAGTGTATTTAATTTATTTAATATTCGCATGCTAGCAGCAGAAGATATAATAAAATGCAGCAAAATATATGAAAGAGCAGCAAGAGTAACAGGCCAAGAATATCTGTTGCTGCAGTCGCTGCTGCTAGACCTCTCCGCGCTGCTGCAGCTGCAGCAGCAGCAGCTGCAGCAGCTCAATACACAGATGCTGGCGTTTGCTCAGGAAGATTATAATATCTCTAAGCAGCAGCAGCAGCAGCAGCAGCAGCAGCAGCAGCAGCATGGGATTATGCAGCAGCAGCAGCAGCAGCAGCAGCAGCAGCAGCAACACTTATTGCTGCAGCAGCAGCAGCAGCAGCAACAGCAAATTAAGTATTAAAGATAGAAACAACTGCAGCACCACAAACAACACACACGCAGCAACAGCAGCAGCAGCTGCTGCTGCTGCTGCAGCAGTAGCTGCTGCAGCAGTAGCTGCTGCAGCAGTAGCTGCTGCAGCAGTAGCTGCTGCAACAGTAGCTGCTGCAACAGAAGCTGCAGCAGCAGCTGCAGCAACAGCAGCTGCAGCAGCAGCAGCTGCAGCAGCAGCAGCAACAGTGGTTTTTGTTCTTCATTTTAACGATTTTATATTTTTTAATTTATTTTTATTTTGTTGTTTATTTATATTTTATTTGTTTTTATTTATGTACATATAAATATATTTATTTTTATTTTGTTTTTTATTTATATTATATTTGTTTTTATTTATTTATATATAAATATATTTATTAATATGATTGTATTATTTATTTATTTATTTATTTTTGTTGTTTTTGTTTTTTGTATTGGGGCGGTTTAGGGTTTAGGGTTTAGGGTTTAGGGTTTAGGGGGCGATGCCTGCTGCTGCTGCTGCTGCAGCAACAGCAGCAGTAGCAGCAGCAGCAGCAACAGCAGTCGCAGCAGCAACAGAAGCAGTAGTAGTAGCAGTAAGAAAAGCAGTAGCAGCAGCAGCAGCAGCAACAGCAGCAGCAGCAGCAACAGCAACAAAAGCAGTAGCAGCAATAGCAGCA